GAATTGAAATCTAGATTCGATATAACATTTTGTTTGTCAATAGAAACGCACCATCAAAAATAATAAATTGCCAAGTTGGTGCGTTTCTATTGACTCATTGAAAATATCCACCATAGTTTGTCATTGCCATTGCCCGTATCTTTAACAAATAGGGAGAAAAAAATAAAAAATATTTTATTATAAAGACATCATTTAATTTACGAAGGGGTATTTTTAATAACTAAAAGATTTTAATTTTTTTTTTATATTTATTTTACTACCGCGGTGACGAATTTTTTCTTATTTTTTATTTTACTACTTTAAGGGATTTATATAAATCACATGAAATTGAGCCAATCAGGATTTATAGAATATCAAAGTTTTTGTCCCATAATTTTTTAATGTGCTACATTAGAAATTTTTCCTGCTGTTGCAAATTCTTACTATTACTATCTGAATTTATTTGTATTTGATACATTTGAAAAGAAGAATAAGTATGGAGTTTTGCCAGGAAAATGTCCTTCTGAGACGATATTTTGTTAGTCTCGGGTCATCTTCCTAACCATCTTCCATATCCCAAGTTCTTTGTAACAAAAAGAACAGCAAGTCGGGAGCTGGATTAGTTGGATTTTTAGAGATTATTTTTTTGTGGTTTGACTTTATCTGTATTTGCTTATTTTTAAAACTGCAATAATAGCATGGGGAGGAAGCATTAGTTCTTACTTTTGATTAACTAACATTTGAAATGTAATTCTGGAGTTATGAATATTTTATAAATACTAATTAATTCTTCATCTTCATATTATACTAGTACCTTCTTCTTTAATGTCTCAAGAATATGATCGTTAAATAGTTTTTTTTTTTTTTTTTTTGTACGTTATAATGAATATAAAGAATTATGAAATGCACTGATTAATTTTACTGTCATTATACTGGATATATTTTTTATTTATTAGTGAAAAAGTTTAAGGACTCTTCAAAAGTTAACAATTGTGATATAAGATATGTACATAAAATTCAAAGTTAATCGATCACACTCATTGTTAAAACAGTACATTTTAAAAAACTAATCTAAGCGACTCTCGAAATAAATCCAACGCGTAATCTATTTTTTAAATTTATTTTAACAGTTTAACCATTTGAATAACCGATCAAATATTTAAAGTAAGCTAATAATAAGACGACCCTGAACCCAATTTTCACTTACTAGAATATACCAGTCTTCATCAAATCAAATTATTCCCTCTTAATTAGTTAGTAGATGATAAGATTTCTTGAAGAATGAAAGTTGCATCGGATGCATTGAATTATAAGGACAAAAAAATGTATATTAATAAAATTTATACTTGGCAACTAAAATCTGGATGTTTCTGGCTTTTATAAGTTTTAGTTTTTACCGTCATCAATCATTGTTGCAAATAACCATGAAATGCAATTTCAGGTCAAGATGACCAAGGTCATTTTAAAAAAAATGTTAATTTGCTATCACTGTTATGAAGCATATAATTTAAATAAGCAGGCTAATGGTTGTTTTCTAAAAATTATCACGTGAAACAACTTTTCTTGAAAACAGACACATGAAGATAATAACGAGCGAAAACATTACGAATTTCGAGTAAACTTTCGTCAAACACAAAAATTCAAATTAAATTAATTTGCAAAGTCATGAATTAATAAAGTATCAACTCCGAGATTATCATATTAAATTATGATTATAAGTCGTAATTCACTCAGAAATAATATTCATGTAGGTTTAAATTACTATTTCTGTATTGCAAGATTTGAAATCTCACAAGACACAAAAAAAAAAAATAACAAGTATTTGAAACTTCAAAATCCCAAACGAATAATGGTATATATATATATATATTTTTTTAATCAAAGTTCTATTTTAATTCTATAATTTATAGAAAATCAACCCATTCACCAACAATTGAAACTGCTTTACTATCACCAGCGATTATTCTATCATCCCTTAATGCTTTGCCGACACATAACCAAGGATCTCTTGATCCTCCCCATTTTAAAACTTCTTCACGAAATAGTTGACCGGCCTCTCTATTTAACGGATCTTTTTCAAAAATTTCTTTCCAAATTTTACCTGCCAAGACTCTACCGATGAGATAACTGTAATAACCTGCGCCATATCCAAATAAATGTCCAAACTGTACTTGCCATGCTGTACCTGATACTGAAGGAAATAATCCAACAGTATCTTGTAATTTGTATAAAATTGCTGTTGTATCATATGAATTAGAGGACTCTGACTTTGTTGCAAGTTTTGAATGATATAATTGATCAAGTAATGCCATAAGTATTTGCGATTGAGTTTCCATTGCTGAGAATTGTAATCTGGCCTTGACATGAGATTTAATAAGGTCTAATGGTATTGTTTCACGTGTCTCATGATGCTTTGCAAAAAGTGAAAGAACTTTTGGAGAATAAACGAAATATTCCATCAAAATTGATGGTAGTTCAACGAAATCCGTTGGACATCTCGTTCCTTTACAAATAAGAAAACATTTAATATATGCTTAAATCACTTATATTAGCACAAAACATAAAATCATAAAGTTATTACCAGACACGTTGTGAAAATCCGTCCGACCAATCATAGCTAAATTTCAGAATGATTAATAAAATATTAAATGAAATTATAAACTTCTTTTAACTCATCAAACTTACAATGCATTGCATGTCCCATTTCATGAAATAATGTTTCAACTTCAACCCAATTTAGTAAACTCGGTTTGTTTCTTCCTTTTGGCTTTGCAAAGTCGCAAGTAAGGACTATAACAGGCAATTGATATCTTCCTGTCTTGCCTTTAATCCTTACGCCATGGTCAGACTTTAATAATTCTCCCATTTCTGTTAGATCGATACCTGATGGTATATCTCCAACTCCATCATCGTCATCGACACGTCTTGAACATTTCACCGTATAATGTGCCGCATTTTGAAATTTGCCGGTACGGTTAAATAAATCGCAATATATAATGCCTATCTTTCCTTCTTGTTCATCGATGACATCAAGCTTACGTACATCCTCATGCCATACTTCTCCGGGAATTATATCTGCAGGTTCAAACGAGATACCATATAATCGTGAGAATAATCTAGATAAACCTTGAATCACTGAACCAACAGAGAAATATGGTGATATTGATGTAACAGGCTGTGTGGATATTTTTTCTGTATAGAAATCACGATCCCACGCATAAACAGTTGGTAAAGTTTCGCTTCTAGTATGTATTCGTTTCGCTTCTTGGAGTAGTTGAAGATCAGCAAGAGCTTTTGGTCTATGATGATCAGCGAGAGTTCGCAGGAATGTCTGTACATTTTCTACAATATAACGAACTCAATTAATTCAGTAAAATAGAACATAATTACTGAATTAATTAATTCTCTTACAAATTTCTAACCTGCATTTTTTACCATTTTATCAATTAGAAATATATGGCTATAGCTCTCCATTCCAATTAATTTTGCTAGCATGGCTCTTGTTTCTAATAAATCTTCCAACAAAGCAAGTTGTTCTGGCGTCGCGGAATTAGCCGCAATGTACATCTCTTTTCTAACCTTTTCATCTTTTACAAATTTTAAAACCATCTGTGCCTCCCATGCTCCGGTCGATAAGGTGGCAGTACTTTCTTTTGCGTCTTTACCGAGACTAGGATGTAATCCCTCAAGGAGTGAAACGTCGACATCGATGTGGTTTATGCATTTCTGAGGTAAATTTTGTGTGAATTGACGACCAAGTGCAATAATTCTATCTGACAATTGTACAAACTGCTCACGATCTGAAGAAGAAAGGTAGATACCAGATTTCTCAAAATCGCGTAAAAATATGTTTGCTACTTGTAGTTCTTCCGAAGAGAATTGAGAGACAATACTAGGCGTTGAAAGTACTTTCTTCAGAACCTGAATACAAAATATGAAGTCATATAATAAAAATATCGCAACAGTCCAAAAATCACGTCAAAAAAATGCAAATTTGTGATAATAAATTGTAATCACACTTGGTACTTCCCAAGGCTAAATCCAAAAAATATATATATATCTGATTCTCTAAAGTACCTTATATAATTCGGTATTTGTATTTAGAGAATTCATATAAGAACAAAGGTATTCGTAAGCCCAATTGGCAGCTTGTGCAAACTTTGGATCGGGATGGGATGTTCTCACAAACTCGGCCATATCAATAACTGAGCAGAGCGCATCGGAAAGTCTATCCAGATTCTTTACCACTTTTCTTAATTCTCCTTCAGTATTTGCCTTGGTGATCCGATGGACCAATAATTTTACTCGTCTTAACGCCTTTTCAGCTTCTATATGAAATCCTTGTGGCGTTGCTAAATCAGGGTTACGAAATAAACCGGTAAGTTTTCTTGTTGCTAAGGAGGTGCCATATTCTAACGCTGCTATGGTCTGTGAACGGGAAGTGTAATTATTCCAAGTATCCGAATCATCAAAAATTAATCGCACGTTTTCGTCAGGTTCTTGAGAAGTGGTGACAAATGGGAATTTTACTTGTATAGGTAGTTGATTTGTTTTTACATTGGTATTTGTATTTACACTCGTACTAGAATCAGAATGGGTAAACCGACGAGATAAAAGATTTATTGAAATTTTCGTCCTTGGAAGAAAAAGACGTCTTTCAAGTAAACGCGTGGTTGAATGAATATATCGATTAAATTGCATTTTTTTTGATAAAAAGGTTGAGATCTAAATTAGGGAGTATCAATCAACAATAAAAAATTTTTTTAACCGCCGAATTTCGCCGATCTTAATCAGATAATTTTCATTTTTTTCCGAATTTGTGAAACGATAAAATAATAATAAAAAAGGTCTTAAAAAAAAGATCATTTTTGATTTTTTACTTGCTCTTGTAAATTTTAGGTAGTTTTCATATATACCTTATAGTTTGTATTTCAAGGAAATCATTATATCAATAAAGCATTAATGCTAATTCTTGTTTTATTCAACTTTATCAATTACAAATCCATATAATAGAGTGCATCATGTTTTATCGAGCAATTTATCGAAGAACAAAAACATCCTTGATTTTATCGAGACGACTTAGAACCATTGCGACACATGTGACACCTTCGACAAATGTTTCAACACAAAGATTAACTTCGAATCGAATCAACTTAAAGAATATTACGCATATCTCGAATCTTCCAAAGACATTCCGAACATTTTCTTCAACCCCATTAAAATGTGACGCGTTTTCTCCTTTAGACACATTTCCTCAAAGACATAATGGATCATCAGATGCGGAGATAAAAGCAATGCTTGATACTATTGGCGTGAAAGATATGGAAGAATTGGTTAATAAAACAATTCCTGCTAACATTCGGTCTACACAGGCTTTGGCTTTAGAAGGTGGCCTTACCGAAAGTGAGCTTTTGAAACGACTGGGAGATATTGCTTCAAAAAACAAAGTTTACAAATCATACATAGGCATGGGTTATACAAATACAATTGTACCTTCAGTTATTCTAAGAAATATTTTGGAATCTCCGGGATGGTATACACAAGTAAGTATCATTCAATTAATTAAATATGATACTGGCAACCTGAAAGAATTTTCGCATAAAAGAAATGACTTTCATCGGTCTGGCAGTGAACCATTTGCCTATGCAAATAAAGATTCAACAATGGAACTCATAATAATGAACGATTGCCGTCGTATTTTGTATGCAGTATACTCCTTACCAACCCGAGATCTCTCAAGGTTTGTTATTGGATCCTTTTAAATTCATCAACCATTATGTAAATATTTTAATATTACCATAACAACTTTTAGGTCGTCTGGAATCACTTTTAAACTTTCAAACTATGGTTACCGATCTCACGAGCATGGATATCGCCAATGCTTCTCTTCTTGATGAGGGAACTGCGGCTGCGGAAGCCATGTTGATTTCTTTTTCTGCAGGAAAACAGAAACGACATACCTTTTTTGTGGATGAGAAATGCCATCCCCAGACTATTGCGTGTCTTCAGACACGTGCTGAAGGGTTTGGGATCAATGTCATAATAGGAGATGTACTAAAATATGAATTTGAAAACAAACACCCAAATGATTTAGCTGGCGTCTTAGTTCAGGTAATGTGTCAACTAAACTAAATATTATAAGAATAAATATTTAGATATAAATATCTTTATTAACATAATGGAATATATATACACGTGTATATTTTATTCAGTATCCCGCAACAGACGGTAGCATTAATGACTATTCAGACCTTTCTACAAAAATTCATTCCTTAGGTGGACAAGTGGTTTGTGCAACTGATTTGATGGCACTAAGTTTATTAACACCACCAGGAGAATGGGGTGCGGACATTGCATTAGGTAATAGTCAGCGGTTTGGTGTTCCATTAGGTTATGGCGGTCCACATGCTGCCTTTTTTGCTTGCAAAGATCAACATAAACGAAGAATGCCTGGTCGATTAGTTGGTGTTTCGCGTGATGCAAATGGAAATAAGGCCTACCGTTTATCGTTACAAACAAGAGAACAACATATTAGACGGGAAAAAGCTACTAGTAACATATGTACCGCACAAGCACTCTTGGCTAATATGTCTGCTATGTATGCTATATATCATGGACCTGAGGTGCTTTAAATTTAATATTCTTACTTTTTCCAATTTACATACTAAATATTTCTCAATGAATTCAAAGGGAATCATAGCTATTGCGAAACGTATTCATACTTTAACTAACGCTTTAGCCGAAGAAATTAAACAGATGGGATATTCAATCAAGAATGATGCATTTTTTGATACATTGAATGTTCATATTGAGAATGGCGCCGATGACATTATTCGAAAAGCTGCAGCCGCTAATATCAACTTTCGTAAAGTAGATAATAATACTGTTGGTATAACATTGGACGAGGCAGTTATAAAGCAAGATGTGTTGGAAATTATTCAAATTTTCTCCAAGGATTCGTACAAGAATTCGGATTTACAACCAGCTAATAAAGCGGCTATTCCTCAGAAATTTATTCGTACCTCACCTTTTATGCAACATCAAGTGTTTAATTCTCATCATTCGGAGACTGAAATGCTAAGATACATATATTACTTGCAATCAAGGGATCTTTCATTAGTTCATTCTATGATACCTTTAGGAAGCTGTACTATGAAACTCAATGCTACCACGGAAATGATCCCAATAACATGGCCTGAATTCGCAAATATGCATCCATTTGTACCAGATAACCAAGCTGAGGGTTATAAAATCTTAATTAATGTAAGTTTATTTGATATAATGAAAAATAAACGCCGTTTCCATGAAGTATACTAATGTTAGAATATATATTTTTATTTATTTAAGGAACTTGAAAAAGATCTTGCCATTATAACAGGATTTGATGGTATTTCTTTACAACCAAATTCTGGAGCTCAGGGAGAATACACAGGATTGCGTGTTATCGGAGCATATCATAAATCAAGGGGCGATGATAAGCGCAATGTTTGTCTAATTCCAGTATCAGCTCATGGTACAAATCCTGCTTCGGCTGCTATGGCAGGTATGGAAGTTGTACCTGTCAAGTGTGAAAATAACGGTGATCTTGATATGAAAGATTTGGAAGAGAAGGCCACCAAATATAAAGATAGTTTGGCAGCATTTATGGTTACTTATCCGTCAACATTTGGTGTTTTTGAAAATGGCGTTGTAAAAGCATGTGAAATAATTCATCAAAATGGTGGGCAAGTATATATGGATGGAGCTAATTTAAATGCACAAATTGGATTATGTACACCAGCTGACATAGGAATGGATGTTTGTCATTTGAATTTACACAAAACATTTTGGTATAAACAGTTATTATATAATATATTGAACTTTTTTTTTTTTTTCTTTTTAGAAACGAATTATTTAATTCAATTTCCATCATTTATTTAGTATACCTCATGGTGGTGGTGGACCAGGAGTTGGTCCCATAGGCGTGTTAGTTTTTACTTATAAATGTGAATTATATTTGATATATTTAAAAAAAAAATTTAATTTAATTTTCTTTCTATTATTAGCAAATCACACCTTGTACCATTTTTACCGGGTCATCCAGTTGTAAAAACTGGTGGCGATAAATGCATTGGACCTGTAGCAGCAGCACCTTTCGGTTCACCGGATATTTTACCAATTTCCTGGGCGTATATAAAAATGATGGGTTAGTTATTTAACTTCGTCTAGATAAATTTGTATATTAAGAAATTTATTTATTTGTATTTGAATTAATTATTACAGGCGGTAAAGGATTAACAGCGGCTACGCATCTCGCATTGCTTAATGCTAATTATATGGCAATCCGATTGTCCAACCACTATAAAATTTTATTTACCAATCAAAATGGAATGTGTGCTCATGAGTTTATTATTGATATCAGACCATTTCAAAAAACCGCAGGAATTGAAGCCATAGATATAGCCAAACGTCTTCAGGTATTCTTTATTTTTATTTATTTAAAGGTAGAAAGTTATGATAATATCGACCTATTTCATTATCTCAGGATTATGGATTCCATTCTCCAACAATGTCATGGCCAGTACCAAATACACTGATGATAGAACCCACAGAATCAGAATCCAAAGCAGAATTAGATAGATTTTGCGATGCAATGATTTCAATTAGGGAAGAGATTAGTTCTATTGAAAACGGTCAACAACCAATAGACAATAATGTATTAACAAATTCACCACATACTATTGAAACGTTAATTTCAACTACCTGGGATAAAGCGTATAGCAGAGAACAAGCGGCTTTTCCGATGAAAATTTTAACAACTCATAAATTTTGGCCATCGGTTGGAAGGCTCGGTAAGTTTTACATAGAATTATAGAAAACTACTATTTTATATATCTATTTAAAGTACGCTAATATTCGTTAAAAAAATATATATATATTATATTCTTCTTTCCGACATAGATGACGCATTTGGAGATAGAAATTTGATATGTTCTTGCCCACCAATTGAAGATTATCTCGAATAAAAATAAAAGTAACTAAAAAAGTAGAAATGTTATAGAAAGTATTTAGAATTTGTAGTATTTTTGTAGAAAACCAATTGTATAACATAATTACCAATTATTAGAATCATTACAGTTTTGAAACTATCAAGATTCTTGATTATTTATAATAACATATCATCATCATCATCACTAATTTCGATTATTTCTTTTGGTGAATCTATTGTTAAATCAATTGTTTCTTTTATCGACATCTTTTCAAATTCTACTTTGCTAATCAACGTTATTTCGTCATCATCAATCATCATCTTTTCATCATTAATTATGATAACGTTTTCTTCGTTAGAATTATTTTCTGCAATAAAGGTCTGACCATTAACTACATCATTAAGATTTTTGTCTTCACGATTAATCTTTGCATTAATATTTTCTCTATTTGATTCAAATTTATCAATGCCTTCAACAATATTAAAATCTGTATTATTAATTTCATTTGTAGAATCCTTTTCATTAATATTAGCTTTTTTATCAAGCTTTTCATTATTGGTCTTATTGTTAAGATTTATATCGTCAATATTGCTCTTTATAGTTAAAATTGTGCTTTGATCTACTTTAATTTCTATATTACTATCAACTTTACATGCTATATTTTCTATATTAGAATGATTAAGATTGTTGCTATTGATGATATCTCCATTATGATTATTTGATGATGTCGTTGATGATGATAAATCTTCTTTTGGTTTATTATCATTATCTAATAATAAAGAGTCCAATTTTTCTTGTTTAATAATAAAAACGTTTGATGATAAAGAATCTTTTTCTTCTTGTTCAGTGTCATTGTTTGACGTTAATAAATGGTTTTCAATCAATTCTTCATTCAGAGCATCATTCATTATAATATCTTCATCAATTTGTTGCAGATCATCATCTAATAATAAAGATCTTGGAACAGGTAATCTTTTCGATTTGTATTTATGATTGAGCCATTTTTTGGTTTGATAAAATATGTGCAGTCTTGCGACTGGATGCGGATGAAGGGTTTTAAGATTTACAAATGGTTCTTCTTGCATATCATTAAAGATTATGTCCGCGGGGTCAAAGGCTAGTTCTTCTAAAGAAGAGATTTCTAGGCTTTGAGGATTGTTATTTTTCGAAGAAGACCTTTTTTCAGGTATTCTTTCTGCTTTATATATATATAATGAAATCGCTCCCAAACCACCTTTGTTTTTTGTGATTTTGGAAGGATTAAATTTCGGCATATTGGAAATGTAAACATTATCGTCTATCCAACTTTCTGGGTCGAATTTAAAGAGGTGAAAGATGGATTTGTTATTGTTGTAGAAACCATAAATATATGTATAGGGTTCCTCTCGTTTCATAGGATTAATTTCCATATGAGTGTTGTCATTCTTTCCATCCATAATGTGTAACCCTTTAAATAAGTTTGGATCTTTGGTAGAGTGTACCCCTACTCTAATGGCAAAATGGCTGGAAGATTCTGGAACTGCGACATAAGTCACATATTTACTAAATAAAAATAAATACCATAAGATTGATATAACAAAAAAAGGGATGATAAAATATAAGTAAATAAACAATTTTTTTACCTCTCCTTTTTCAGAGCCATTTTTTTATTAATAGATTCTTGAGAATAAGATACCAACTTTGCATCCTAAAATAAAAAATTTTAATTTAAGTTCGAGTTTTAGTACGTGAATTTTTTTTTTTTGTTTTAAATATAAACCTTACATCATCTATCGGTATTTCATATTCCGAAAGTACTTTATTCTTAATAAGAATCTCAAATGAAAAATCACCAAGACGCATTTTTGATATTATAGTTATAAGAAATGATTTGATTTGATTTGATTTGGTTTAGAAAAAACGCGCAGAAGAAAAAATTTGATTTGATTTTTTTGGTTTTAGAAAAAACGGCAAATTTATTTTTGGTTTTAGAAAGATCACTCTTATTTTATTTCAAATAAAAATTTTATTTTAAAAAAAAAACGCGTTAATTTATTTCAAGGGAAGATTTATTTTTTTAGAAAACGTTTAAAAAAGCTAATTATTTCTTTAGTAAAATCGCGTTAATTTATTTCAGGAGATGATTTTATTTTTTAAAAAAAACGTGCTAATTTCAGTCAGGAGAAAAGATTTTATTTTAGAAAAAACGCGTTTATATCAAGAAAATCATTTAACATTGGATGGCTTTTTTTCTCTAAACTCGAAAGAAACGAACATTTCTTCGTTTTATTGAGACCCATAATACAGTCAGGGGTTTTACCAAATTTGGAGAATGATCTGCGAAAAATCCTTGAAATTTGATTGGCTCTCATTTTTTACAGCTAAATTCTTTTATTGTCAAAAACTATATGAATAGTCATCTTAATTCTCATAATCACAAATAATTTCTCATAGTCAACATTTCAAAAAAGCATTTTGTATTGAATTAATGTTAAATCTAAAAAAAAAAATATATTTAGCTTATAAAATCAAAAAATTTTTTTGGTAGTTTTCTCCTTTTATAATCTTATTTATAATAAATATTTTAAATAATTTTTTAATATCTTTTTATTTTAAAATTAAATTAAAATTATGTAATCACAAAAATATTAGAATACTAATAATTAGAAAAAAGCTAATCAATTAAAATTTATTATAAATATTTTTCTGAATTTTTTAACTTTTATTTTTATTTAAAATTATATTTAATTTATAAAAAATATTATAATCTTACTAATATCTTATAATTTCTATATAGAAAATAAAAATTTTGATTAAATAATAATAAAAGTAATGTAATATTTTTCATTATTATACTGATTCAATTGTTGAACTTAATAAAATTAAAAAGATTTTGAAGTTTAATCAATTAAAAATTTAGCAAAAGTTACAATCAATAATAGATTTTAATAATTAAATTATATTAATATAATAAAAATTAGAAAATTAAAAATTAAATAGAAGAGTTAAAAAAAAAATTATAGAAGTCTTTGAAATTATAATTTATATAATGAATAATTTAAAAAATAAAAATTTTTTATAAATAGTGAAATTTAGGATTTATCAATTAATAAAAATATATTAAAATAATTATTAAAATAATAAAAGTAAAATATTTGATAATATAAATCATTAATTAGTAATAATAAAGATTTGTTATAAATAGTCTCATAGTATATACTTTATAGAAATAACTTAATAAATATAATAAAGTTATTTTAAATTCATTAAAACTTTCATTTATAAAATCAAGATAATAATATTTTAAATTAAAAATAAATTTTTAAAATTACTGTTACTATTAATACAATATATAAAAAAAAAATATATAAAATATATATTAAAAATACAGTTTACAGTCTAAATTATCAAATATTTAATTATATTATTTAAAATAATTATTATTATTAATAATTATATTATAATTCAGAAAGCTATTATCAGTTTTAAAAGTTATTAGAAGAATTTCAGAATATAAAAACTATTATTTGAAGATCTTTTTTTTTTTATATTTGACAATAAGAAAAAAAGACAAAAAAATTTTTAAATGAAGATTTAATATAGTTATTTTTTATATCATTATCAATTTTGTTACTTTTAATATAATATAACAAAATAAAATTATATATATTAATTTATCTTAAATATATGATTTCTCTTAATAGATTATAATATTAAAATTTTCAATAATAATTCTTAAATGTAAAATATTTTTAATAAAGAAAAATATAATTATTTTTTAAAATTTTTTTAGTTTATTATCTGAAAAAAATCATTTTTTAATGATATTATTGATTATCTACAAGAATTAATATTACTTGTATAAAATAGTATTTTAGTAACTATTAAAAAAAATATTAAGAATTAGAAATAGATATATTCAAAATACTAAAAATAAATATTAAGATTAACAAACATCTAAAAATAGTTGATATTAAAAATAAAATAATTGAATAATACTATTTATTTTTAAATCTTATAATCTTAATAATAAATCAAGTATTATATTTATTTTTGAATCAGTTTTACTCAATGATCAGCTAATTATATAATTAATATTGTGAATATCTATATTTCTAATATAATTAAAATAAATTTAATTTAATTATAAATATCAAAAAATTTTCTTTATATAGAATAATATTAAAGATTAAACTTAGAACTTATAAATAGATAGTCATAACCTAATATATTATAACATATAATAATATTATTAAATTAAAAGAAAATTTTTTTAGTTAATTCTTATACCAGAATAATTATATGAAAAGATGAATATGTTTTATATAAATATAAAATTATAATTTTTTATTAAAATAAAATAAATTTTATTAATAAATTATTTTTTTTTATTAATAATTAAAGAAATAAATTAAAATAATTTATAATATATTAAGATTATTAAGCAAAAAAATCAACTTTTTTATTCAAAAAATATATAGATCATTATAAGTTTTAAAATTTAATTTATAATATATATTATTATATAATAATTATAGAACTTATATAATCATATATAAAAATCCATTCAGATCTTTTAGTTAATTAAAAATATTTTATTTAGATAAAAATATAAGAAAGATTTAATCTATCAAATAAAATATGAATATATATTATTTGTTTTTAAATAATTATCAATTATCAAAAGATTATAAAATCAACAACCTTTTTTTAAAAAACTATTAAGAGAATATTTTTTTTAATTTAGTTTACAAAACATTATTCTATCTATTATTTAATAAAAATTATTAATAAAATTTAATTAATACAACTTTATCTAAAATTAAATAAAATCATAAAAAATATAGTGTTATGTTTAAATTAAAAATTTATAAATAATATTATATAAGAGAAAATATTAATAATAACAATCTAAAAAAATAATGATTATTAAAAAATCTTTTATGTCTTATATGTCTTCTATTAAAGATTTTAATTTTAATAGGATTTTTTAGACTTTTATAATTGCATAATTTAGGTTTCATACTATGTTAGCTATCAACTATACTCTAAATTAACAGATATTTTAATATTAAAATTAAAGATTTAAAAAGCTTTTAATAAAATTTGATAATATGAATATTTCTCTATTAAAAAGTTATTATAATTTAAAATTAACTGAGCAACTTAGTTAGGAACTTATTAAAGTTATAACTTCTTTCTTGATAATGTAATTATTAAGACCTATATTTTACAATGTAAACATTTTAAGAATTTGATAGTTTTAACAAAAGTTATACCTGCTTAATATATTTCTATTACTTATTATTAAGAGAATTTATTTTACAAATTAATTTTCATTTATTTAAGAATCATCTTTTTATATTCTTTATTATTAACTTTATTAATCTTCTTAATTATTTTTATTTTAAAATCTAGTTTTTCCATTACTCATTATTTATATTATTGATATTTCTTATTATTATTTCTGTTATTTATAATATTATTTTCTTTTCAAATTCTTGGATTTTTCTATATAATCTTTCTTTTCTTAATATTTTAATTTCTTTTTTTTTATTTATTATATTCTTTTATTTCAATCCTTTAATATATTTCATTTTTATAGTTAATTTCTTTTTTCATTATTATTTTTTATTTATTTTATTATATATTATTATTACTATCAGTTTTTTAAGATACTTATAAATGATAAGCTAAGCAAGATTTTTAGGTAGTAAGCAGAAGGTTTATTTTATTAGTTTTAGAAGAGTGTTG